CTCTCAGTAACTGTGGCCCCTGAGCTGCTGACTCTCAGTAACTGTGGCCCCTGAGCTGCTGCTCTCAGTAACTGTGGCCCCTGAGCTGCTGCTCTCAGTAACTGTGGCCCCTGGGCTGATGACTCTCAGTAACTGTGGCCCCTGAGCAGTTCAGTTGAATAGCCCTGATGCAGGACATCAAATGTTTGTCCTACTAATAAAAAACGACGGTAAAGTTTTTATTATTTGTGATTGTGAGCGTTGACGCTTCATGACGTCTGTTTTGTGTCTTGTCAGCTCGTTAAGATTCCTGCTGCCTCGACTCCTGGGAGGAAGAGGAAAGAGGAGAAAGAAGAGGAGATCGGAGAGGTCAAGAGGAAGAAAGAGGAGGCACAGGAGGAGTTGAAGAAGAACAGCAGCGAGGAGAAGAAAGAAGAGAGAACAGAAGAAAAGGCATCTGAGAGTAGAGGGTCAAAAAGAAAGACGGAGGAGGAGAAAACTGAGGGAGGAACGACGAGGAGAACTGAGAACAAGCAGGAGACGAGTGAGGAGGAAACAGGAGGAATAAAAACAAGGATACCTGAGAAGAACAATGTGGAGCAAACAGAGCTAACCAAGACAAGAACTGAGAAAGAGAAGATGGCTGAGGAGGAAACAGTGGAGGTGAAGACAAGGAGATCTGAGGAGGAGAAGGATGCTCCTGGGGAGGAAGGAGAGAGACTTAAAACAAGAAGAGCCGAGAGGGATGGAGAGAAGCCCGAAGGTAGAAAAACTATAAAACCTGAAAAAGACAATGAGAAAACTCAGAGACTGAAGACAAGAAAAACTGAGAATGAGAAGACACCTGAAGAAGAAGCAGGGAGGAGGAAGACTAGGAGGTCAGAGATGGAGAAGGAGGCTTCTGTGGAGGAAGGAGAGGAAGTTAAAACCAGAAGAGCCGAGACGAATGAGGAGAAAACTGAGAAAATAAAGATAAGAAATGAGACAGAGAAGACGGAGAGGAAGACGAGGAGTTCTGAGAAGAAGGTGGTCTTAGAGGAAGAAAGAACAAAGAAAAGAAGACGTGAGAATAAAGAACAGAAGCAGGAAGAACAAAAGAAGAGGAAAGAAGAGACGAGCAACAAGATCAAAGCAACAGAAACGCTGCTAAAACCCCTGAAAAATGTTTCTGACGAGGAGAAGGAGGTGAGGAAGGAGGAGAGCTGGAGAATAAAGAGGAAGAGACGGGAGGGAGAGGAGGAGGCACAGAAGAAAAGAAAACGGGAAGAGGAGAGAGGAGAAAGGTCGAGTGGGCCAGAGGACGAACAGAAGGAAACGCAGGATGAAGGAGAGACAGCAGAGGAGGAGAAAGATGAGGAGGTAAAGCTCAAAACATTTTGTTGTTTTCTGCCAAAAATCAAAACTTTAACTTCACATCAGCTCCGGCAATAAATTCATATGAAGTCCACTGAGTCGGGCTTTCTTAAACCAGCCTCAGTCTGGAGGTCAAAGGTCATGGTTTGTATGTATTAAACCAGCCTCAGTCTGGAGGTCAAAGGTC